CCAGCTGCTGCAGGAGACTCTGTACCTCACAGTTGCTGTCATGGATCGATTCCTCCAGGTAGGAGCGGTCTAAACTGTCTTTTCTTTGTGTTTTGTGAGCTGTTTGTAAATGTCTGCCGCTGTGCTTCAGGTCCAGCCGGTCTCTCGCAGGAAGCTGCAGCTTGTCGGTGTGACGGCCATGCTGGTGGCATGTAAATACGAGGAGATGTACGCTCCAGAGGTGGGAGACTTCGCCTACATCACAGACAACGCCTTTACAAAGGCTCAGATTCTGGTGATGGAGCAGCTGATTCTGAGGGCCCTCAACTTTGAGCTGGGACGCCCTCTTCCTCTCCACTTCCTGAGACGGGCTTCCAAAGTGGGAAACGTAGGTTCTTGTAAACATTTACCACGGCAATATCGTCTGGGCAATGTTTAAGGACTATATTGGACAATGCTGTGTAGAGCTACAGTATCTATCAATCATTTCACTGCGTGTTCTCAGTTTGACCTTTTTATAAAGAGCTACCAGTGATGGCTTTTTTTTAAATGTATTTTAATTTTAATTGATTAGGTAATTTAAAGAACTCATTAATTCTAGATTTGTCCTACGGGAACGAATACTATAAACAATCTTTGAGATTTTGTTAACATTTTTAATGAGATTTCACTGGTTTGGATGATTGTGCCTCAGTCTGATGTAGAGAGACACACGCTGGCCAAGTACCTGATGGAGTTGACGCTCCTTGACTACAACATGGTGCACTATCGGCCCTCTGAGATCGCTGCTGCTTCTCTGGCGCTCTCCCAGCTGCTGCTGGTAGCCCTGCCCTGGGTGAGTGATGGCATTTGAGGGGCGTCTACACTTACATTTTTTAATTTTCCTGATGGTAATTTTTCTGTCTTGTCTCAGTCTCCTCAGCAGCAGCACTACTCCACTTATGACGCCGCTCACTTGAAGCCCATCATGCAGCACATCGCCAAAAACATAGTGATGGTCAATGAGGGGAAGACAAAGTTCCTGGTGAGTTGAACGACCAAGTATAAGCATTAAAGTTTTGATTTGTAGTAAAATAAAACCCTTTTTCCTCTGCAGGCTGTGAAGAACAAGTACTCGAGCAGCAAGCTGATGAAGATCAGCCTCATCCCTCAGCTGAACTCGTCCATCATCAAGACCATGGCGGCCGCTCTGCTCAGTAATCCTTGAGAACTTTTACATCATCAGTGGACGTTTCACTTGCACTTTATTTAATATTGATTACATTCTGTGGATAAACTATAGTACTTTTTTTTAATAAAATCTTTTAAACATTTTAATCCAAGCATTGTGGTTTTGTTCATAGCTTGTGGGAGAGAAACTCCCTCTGGAGCGAACACGGGTAGCTTAACATTTGCAGACTAATTACATGCACAAACTTGTATAACACACTGCAGGAAAGAGAACCCAAAAGGTATAATGGGGCGGCCCTTTCGGAGAGCTTTCACTGTTTGTAAGCCAGTTGTTCCCAATAGTGGTCTTGTAAGATGACAAAAGGCACTTTTTTATTTTTGGAGAGGAACCTTAACTCCAAAGGGGTTTTGAACGGGACTTAAACACTGAACTTTGACACCATCTGATCTGCGTTGCAGATCATTGCCAGATGCAGTAGCAAATCCTGGCATTTTTGTATTGTGAAACACTAAATATTGTGACATGCTAAATAGAATGTAATAGACTTGTCTGACATTGATTCGAAGCTCTCCAGTCTATACACTTAACAGTTCAGAATTTCATCACTGAATGGATCTAGAAACAAACAATGGCAATGTGATCCAGTGTTGTGGTTGCAATATCTTAGGAATGCATTAAACAAGGACTTTAAACATGTGGAACAATGATTAGATTTTGGTAAACAAGGGTCAGTGACCTCTAAACACAATTTTTGCCCCGTACTCAATTAATTTGCCAATTATGACAATTTCATACACATTTTTTTCATTTGGGACAGGCAGGGTCTGGAACTGCAACCGGACTGGTTGGCACACTCAATCCTTACACTGATTTATTATACAACCATCCGTCGTAGTACTCCACTCCTTGAAACAGTCTTGTGTGGAATCAGTGGAGTTCCCCTTTTAGTAACGCTCAAGTATCTGGGAACTTCACTCTGGCAGTGACATGTGATGTCTCATTTGTGGTTCAGTAGAAGAAATGAATGAGGCCACTGTGATGCAATGTAACCCTTACTGAGAGAATGAATCCCAAGTGTGAGGTCACGGTGTCGTTAATCCACAGCGTCACTCATCTGTTATGAAACCATCTGAAGTCCAGCGAGAGAAACTGTCTTCTGTCTTTTGCTTTGTCCAAAGTGTGCAGCAGCGTCACACATTACTCACAAAGACGGTTAGCTCACGCAGAATAACGCCATTTATAGTCCCGCGTTCCCTCGCACACTGTGCCCGACTGACTGTGCTGGTGTGTGGAGGAGCATTGTACTCGCCAGACTGACCCTGACTTCACCACCACCACCCTCCTCCTCCTCCACACTGACTGAATGGTGCTGAGCTGCTGCAACACAACAGACATATTACATCTTATATATAGAAAGAAAGCATGTATTTTTTATGCAAATAGAAAGGGTTCTACTTTTAAGAACGTACATATTTATTATACATTTTTTAGATATTTTTGTCTTTTAAGAAACTTACATTTGAATGACCAAAAAACTAGTATAATACTATTTCTCAACCTAACTTTTATTTCTGGCAGTGTGGGCTTTGAAACATTACTTAAATGTTATGAAATGTAACTTTATTAATGTAATGCCTGATTAAAAAAATACTTAATTAAATGTTATCATTAAATAATACTAAAGCAGGATTTTCTTGTTGAAGTTGGTGGAGTGGAATTTATCTGCTGATTATTTTATTATTTAGTTTGTTTTTTGTCAAACCAACAGTTCAAACCTTAACAGTATTAGTAATACATGTAATTATTAACAGTAAATGTTTCTACAGAAGATGTTTAGGGCCGGCTACATCAGCGAATACATATCTAATAATGTATATCTTATTAGGACTAGGACCAATCGACCACGACATAAATACAAAATATTGTTGACCAACCTGACTTGTTTTTATCTGATTAAAATTCAGATCAGTCGATGATCATTTGGCTTAGAAAAATTATAATGCAAAAATGTTATCTATGTGTCTAAAGGAAGATGATTAGGGCAAAATTATATACACAAGATCAATGGGGGGAAAAAATGCAAATATTAAGGTTATTTAAAGTAGTATAGGCTATTTAAATGTGACTACTTTAAGACCAAACGTCAAAAACGTTGAAACATTTATCTGGTAAAAATGCAGATCAGACGATTAAATCATTTAGTTAAAAAATGATAATAACAAAACATATGTCCATGGATTATCTCCACTTTATCCTGTGTTTTTTGTAAACTGCTTAATAAACACTTGTGTTGTCGCAGAACAGCCCGTTTTTTTAATCCTCTGCTCTGTGGGGATTTAGGGGTTAAAGCGGGGCATTATTTGACTCGTTAATTCCCATATCTGCCACACGGGGGGGACCCGAAGAGCCTCACCTACTGCTGCCTTTCCTGCTGATGCCTGTCCGCCTTCAGTCTCACTGTCTGCTACTGCTTTGTTGTCCAGCCGGAGGAGGTCACTCAGTCCGAGCAGCAGTCCGCTCACAGCGCACTCAGGAGCCGCAGAGCAACCACCGACTCTCCGCAGAAAACAATTCTCTCTGCAGTTTGACAAAACAACCAAGTAAGTCAATATACGACTCTTGCTCTCTATACGTAAGCTTTCTTTTCTTTATTCATGTTTTTTCCGCGAACACGAGGCATGTGAGGCTGCTGTGTTCAGATCGATCATCAGGTTGTCGATTAATCGGTTCTTCGTGACAAACGGCCGCATTTCAGACATGTTGATGACTTTAATTGAGTAAACAGGACTGGTGATGTGGCGCATGTGTGCATGATTTATGTAACATATCTGACACGATGAGGAGCTTCAGTATTAGACCACTTGTTTGGCCATAGAGACACTGAAGTACAACTTTCAACTTCAAACTGGACTCAAATAGTAATAATAACAGTACTTTTCAGAGTCCAAGTATCAATGAGGCTCTTGTTGTAAAGCACGCAAAACAAGTTATAAGATAACGTGAAAAAAAATGTGTCAGAAGAACTTTACAAACTTGTTTTAAAGCCCTTCAGGACAAGCATTAACTGTGCAGATACACACTTTTTTATTTGCATGTAATCTGGTGTAACAGAAACTGAAGTTAATCAACTTTTGGGACTTTGACCCACACTTTGTACCTTTTTAGTTAAAGAGAAACACACAGAAACAGAGCAGTTTAACATATATCAGTTATTTGAAGCTGATCCAGGCAGTAATCTAAGATTTTAAGACGTAATTTGATTACAAGTTAAAAGGTTTTATTGATTTGAAGTGCCTTTTATTCCCATGGGAGTATAAAAGCTTTTCAATATTACACAAGTAAAAAGGCATAGAGGGAAAGTCTGAAAAACGTTTAGATAATTTGAGGTAGCAGAAAGGGTTCTGGTTCCTGTTGTGGTAACTACTGATTGAAACCATCATGGGACACAGGGTTTTAGGCTGTTAACTGAAAAGTTAAAAATAATGATTATGTGGATTATTTTGACATCTATGCAGTCAAAAAACAGTCATAAATGCCCAAAGTGACATCTTCAAGTTGTTTACTTGGTTTGGTATTTTGTCTAATCAACAGTCCAAAATGAATAATAATAATGATATTGTAAGACCATCAGCAAGTTTTTCCAAACAGCCACCAATTTAAACGCCAAAATTAATCATTTTTATACTACCATTTTCTGATCTAATGTCCATATATGCAATAGAACACGATTTGTTGGTTTTTTGAATAGTTATAGCCTACTTTTAGAGTTTAAAGAATTAAAAAACATGTATATCTGTTTTTTGAAAAGGACTTAATGGAGGTTCCGGGATGTCCGGTTTTTGTCTCGATACTGTTTGCTTATAATTTACAAAGTGGTATTGTTTGTATCCCAGGAAGACTAGACTAAAATGCTCCCATTAGATAAGCTAGTTAATGGTTGGCATCAACTGATCGACAATTTGTTTTAGGCCTGAGCCGAACCCCGAGGCCAACCTGACTGACCCACGTCGGCACAATATTTAATCAATTTACAAAACATCCAGCTCTTCTTCTGCAGGGTGATTGTCTGCATTACAGATATGGATGTAGGTCAGTGTTGTGGTGTTGTTGTGTTGTAGTGTTGTTGTCAGTGGCATCAGTCAATATTTCAGTTTTCTCCCTTCCCCTCTTGCACATCGGTGAATCTTGTCCTCAACTTGCGAGGCAGTAAATCAGTCCAGCTGCAGGTCGGGCTTCACTGCGGCGTGACCTTAATTACCTTTCCATACACGGGGAACCAAAGTCTTGTTGAAGTGCTTCTGCTGGAGTTCTATCAGACAAGAATGTTTTCGCCCACAGGAATTAGTTAATCTGCGTTCTGAGATATTTAACACAACACCCAGTCTGTGTGTTTCAAGTGTAGAAAAACCTACCGGTAATTCAGTTTGCTTCTCACAAAAAAGAGTGAAGTCTGTCTGTTTGCCGGAGACTCACCCTTAGTGAGTCTATAACCTGTTTACCCTGTTTAGTGTAATAAGTAAGTAAGAATCAAGTAAAGTAATATGTAATGGAATAGCCCTGAGGGGTAATTATGGGCTTAATAAGGCTTGAGCCTTTCGAGCTGCTCACATTTCTCCTGCGCAAAGAGCAACATGCATGGTGGACTTGAGATGAAAGGCTGTAGCTGTCGGGGGCAATTTTCTTTCCTGACAACGAAAATGTACTTTCTTCTGTCAAAGCCCAGCAATAGACCAACCAATGAATGTACCTACTTTTTAGGTATTGTGTTTGTATTTTCACTTGAATATTGTCATTCTTTGTTGGTAAGCCAGTTTTTACTGGACTTTGATGGGAACATTTGAGAAAATCTGAGAGACAATATGTCTGTCTGTCAGCCAGATTACGCAATGACACACATTTCATGAGCATTGTTGAAAGGGTGCAGTATGGGCCAAGGAAAAACCTATTACATGGAGATGGCCTTGGCAGAGGTTTGGACAGCAGAATTGTTGTGGTTTTTTCAAAGGAAATCTCACCACAATTACAGGTTCGAGCCCCTTAACTGTGAATATCTGTGGGTTTTGTTGATTGTAAATGGAATATCTTTTTGGTTTTGGACTGTCGGTCTGACAAAACAAGTTACTTTACCGAA